GAGCATGGGAAATCATTAGAAAGGGATAAAATTTAATGGAATGGGGAGGGTGGGTATAGGGAGGGCTGTTGAAAGGGTGCGGGGATGGGGTGGGAATGGCAAAGGGGGGGTGGGCGGATGGTTTAGGAAGGGGTGAATGATCGATGGTGCGGGATGGTACTGTACTGTACCTCTCTTTATGGTTCCATACAGTGTCGAATAGAGCTTGGGCGATAGCCGCAGGAGTATTCAAGCTCTAAGCACCAGACAGTAGAGCGTTCGTCAGTCAAAATAATGGTGGAGCAGAAGCTGAGCTTCACCCAGGGATGTAAACGAGTAAAGGAGAGGGGAAGAAAGAGAGAAGCAGCTTCCGTTTCCCTCGCATATCTCCCAAGTTTCGTGTGAAAGTATTCCTCACGTTTAGGGGAGAAGGCCAGCGAGAAATGGGGAATCTCCCAGGAGCACGGAGTCGAGAAAACTTACTGATTGCTTGCGCCGTTTCCGAGCTCGATCGTCGCTATCCGGCGTTGGCGATGCGTGCGAAACCTTGCGCTTATCCATCTCACAAGGTATCCTATGGTTCGAGGTTTCGTCGGGTTATATATATCGAGAAGGAAACGCGACCGAAAATTCGCGACTGGAAGAAGGTTGGTGAGGCGCGCTTCTTTTCTTTTTTCTATCTTTTTTTTTTTTTTTTTTTTAATTTTCTCTAATTTTTTTTTTACACCAGTAATGACCTGCGATGCGCAGGCTATGATGGGGGAGAAAAAGTGGCAATGACGGCCAAGTTTCGGAGAGGAGGAAGAAGGCGTAAAAAGCGTGATAATTTAGCAGGGAATTATGGTTGGAAGTGGAGGGTATTCGACTGTCGGTATGGCTCTGCGTTTTGCTTTCTCTGGTGGTGAGATCGTGGTCCCCCGACAGGGAAAAGCCACACAGCACCAGCCCCGCCATGATTCACCAAGGATCCCGGGCATTGGGCAGAAGGCGCCAAGTCCGAAAAAAAAACAATGCAATTGTCCCATCAGCCACAGTATAGGCGCCACATGAGCCGCACAGAGGAACTCCGACAGCACCAACGTTGTTATGTTATCAAACCAAAAAATATGATATGATACCATATTATCATACTGGTACTGTACATACCATGCATACTTGGGCTCAGGGTCAAGAGTCTGCTACGGTATGGTATGATACGCCAGCCTATCACAGAGTCGCAGCAGTCCACTCCACCGGTGGATTGGGTTCCTCGTACTATTTAATTTACCCTTCGATGCTGTTCTTTAGAACAGAATAAACAAAGAGTTGCTACCAGCACATTATGAAAGCGGTATGGTACTCTTCTGCGCTGCTGCCGCTGCAGCTGTCTGCAGGCGCCCAGGGCATTTCTCGCCACAGCGCCCGTAGTTAAGAGTAATCTATGATACAATGGGGTACCAGCACGGTATGATACCGGTACCCTTCTCCACTCTTCTCCATCGCTTGTCCCTCACCTCACCCATAGTCTATTCCGGAAGCTTCGAAGATCATACCAGCACTGCCTGCCTGTCACTGTATCATTTTCGTACCTGAGTGAGATCAGTATCGTACGTAGACCACGATAACCTCTTTCTCTTTTCTTCTGATTTTTCTGTACGCCACGCCAATTTTTACTCCTCTTCCAATCCTGCAGACCGGTGTTTCACAGCCACCCCTCGCAGCACATCTCCTCTACCCTACACACTACGGTACGGTGCCAGTACTTGTACTGTACGAGCAGAGCGTCCCCATCACACCACACGCAACAGCCCGCGGAGCCGCCCTAGACAAACTTTTCCTCTTCCTCTCCCAAGCGAATAGGTAAGCTTACCCTAGGATTAGACCGACGCGTCCCGGTCCGTCCCTCTTCCTAAATACTGTGCCCCTCCTCCTTCTTCTCACTGCTGCCCTGTTATCTCCTTTCCGCCTCTTCACCAAAAAAAAAAACCCCAATCTCACCGTTTCGTCGCTCTCCCGTATCATACTTACACCCACCGACAAACACAGCAGTTTCCGAGCGACAACCTTTCATCCCCTTCTCTCCTTCAGCATTTCCATATCCCCGGAATAGAGCCATGGAGAAGACTTCAGCCCGTCAACGTCGCCCACGTTTGTTGACTGACAAGGAGAGGGATCGTTTAGAGGAATTCGTTGATCTTATTCACTACTCTGATCGGTGAGTCCGCAATTCTTCCCACACAAAGCACCATCGTCTAACCTCCCCTTCCCCGGGTATCTAGTTACTCTGATAAGCAATATGAGTATAGGTGATTACCCCCGGGGCTCACGCGATAAACGAAACCCTCTCGCACAACTGGTGCGTTGAGATGGGCTAACTGAGGTGCTTTTAGGATGTAGGCGACTCCGTCAATATTGAGAATGTA